ACAATGCCCAGTATTTATTCTTCCTTTATTCTAAGCATCACGAAATGATTGACATGCTGCAACCATCCGAAGAGCAACGTTTAATGCCCTGGACGCACCATTAGAGCTCAAGTACCTTATTTACTTAACCCTCTTCCACCTCCAACAACGCTGAACCTTGTTACAATCCGTTCCACCGACTAAATATAAATAGAGTGTTTGCAAATAAATGGAATGGATCGACACACGACTAAAAAGATTTTTCCCCAAGAACCCAAACTACTGATAAAGAGAATAATTGGAAGTTTGCAAGAAAAATCAACTTGTGTATCAAAATGTTTCAAACTTATCAGCCGTGTAGCCTGAGATCAAGCCGAATATTATTTTCCTTTTTCGTGGTCGCGTCCAACCGAAACGAAAAACAAGCTTGATATCATCATTAGGTTAAATTGTAATAGGACGGTACTCGTCAATCACAGTGAGATTAGTTAGAAAGTCCGTCTTTTGTATAAATTAAACACAAAAAATATAAAATATGTTTCGTGCAGAGGACGCAGCAGTAAAGCTCATCACAAGTGCTGCGGTCACATAACTTGACCCTTTAACGCGAATTACTCTAACAGTTCGAAATCCGTGTTCTATTGTTTAGCGTTCCATCCACTGAATACGAATAGATGTTTTTACAACTGGACGAGGGTTGGCGCACGATCATACAATTTACCCACGGTGCGAACTAGAAAATTGTGGTCTCGCGGTCTAGCGAGTCTACAATTTTTAACAAAAGAGCTCTACATTTCTACCATCGTTATATAGTGATGAGTTTCCTCGGCTTTCCAGTCCAAAATTAGCCTTGATAGGCTAGGTTACGTGTTTAGATGGGTACCCACCTTTTTGTGTCCTTATTCTTTTTATATTTTGCGTGCCAAGACACTTTATTTTAAAAGTTCCTGTTTACACCCAGTCAGTAGTCAGAACTCCATGAATGTTAATTAGCGGCATTGCATTTAAGGATAATCAAAAACAATATTTGCATATTTTCCGTCTTCTACTAAATTAACTCATATTATCGCTCAACGTCTTAAACCTTGTCAGATTTCAAGTACGACCTCGTTAGAAACACTGAGGTGAAGATGATTCATTGAACGAACCGGTCCAACATGTTGAAGCAACCCTCAAAGTATCAGACCACAATTGTCCTAGAAAACAAAAACTTGGCCGAAACTAAAAGGCTTGAAGAAGATGCAAAACAAAAGAAGAACTGGAAGAGATGGGGGCCTTATTTATCGGAGAGGCAGTGGGCAACCGTAAGAGAAGACTATTCTTTTGATGGCGCTTGGTAGGGACACTCTTTAACATCTGATTTACTTTGATAATCCTACTTGATTCGTGAGGGACTTCGTGTCGCACGTGGGTGGGTCCTTAGGGAAGTCCTTAGGGATGAACACGGAACTGCGCATGATCATTAACACGTAACTGTTCCAATCTCGACCCAGAGCTCTTTTGCGCAAGTAGAGGAGAGAGAAAAGCACTGGGGTCGAGAATGGTTAATTCGACCTGTTCATTTCTCACGTCGACTCATGCGTGGTCCTGCTGCCACGATGAGTTGTGAAGCTGTTTCGCGTATTAGCGATTGTGCTTACATTTTGTCATTTCGATACAATTAGTGATCACACTGTCTCGTCCAAAAATCACCATTCTATGCTTTGAGTGAAAGAGAAGAAAAGATGTAATTTTTGTCTACTTTTCGTTCCAATTATTCATGAATTGATTAAAGATTACGTGCAAAACAGTAGCATTTTTGTGAACTAAACATGAAAACAAAAAAAGATTTGCGTAGAGTTTGCTTCACTCTTCTTTAATTTCCTAGTTTGAGATCTTTAACGTGGCTCGATACAGTTTTTCAGGGTCAATACCTCCCAAGGAGTTTGACCACAATCTGCGTCGCCTTGAAAAAAGATTTGGGAAAATTGCCACCACAGTTGTATTAGATAAAAATGAAAATTTGTTATGATCAGGGTTGCAACGACATCGGAGTTGTCATAGCAACGAAATGACGCTGTTACCTATTTTACTTGCAGCAGTATATCTCGGCACTGGGAACTATTCTTTCAAAATCGTTCACGGGAGCTTTTTCTTCCAATAGCGGCCTCGATGCTCGTGAAGTTTATGCGAAATCTGTAAGAGCGTTATCGAGATATTTTGGGATGAAGATTTTAGGGTTAGAAACAAGGTAAAAAATGAACAATCTTGATGTTTGGCCTTTATCTGTAGAAAACGAAGCGCTTTTGACATGCAATTTCAACTCATAGTAGTTCAATCTTTTCAAAAACGTACGTGAAAGATCATGGAGATAGCTTTAGCCGATTGCTAGAAAGAAGGCTTTGATTAGTATCTATCGAGGCGCTCTTGTTAGCGGTTTTGTAAACATTTTGGTCTTCTAACAAATTAGCGAATAATTTTAAACCGCTCGATAGATTTTATCGAGCCACCCTAAGTGGTATACTACTCGAGCCGTAGTTCGTAGCCCGTAGGCATTGCATTGTACTAGGTCTCCACAATTAGTTCAGTTACACTGTACTGAATGTAAGCTAGAGGGCTGACACTTTTTTAATTCGCTGAATATTAGACTACTTTACAGTCTGGAAAGGTCGACAATATTGCCAGTACTATTTCACCAGAATTTCTCTACTGCCACGCAGGTTGCACGTGAAAGTGTTAGCCTGTACCCCGTGTACGGTCTGTACGTGAAGTAATGCAACTTGTTTCGAGAGACTTAACATAATAACTTTTTAACATGCATGAACTATTTTGCAATTAGAAAAGAGCAGAACGCTCATCAGTATCAATCTTATTTTTCTTTTTTGCTTGAGTTATAAAAATTGTTTCCTTCAATGTCACTATATCACGAATCTAACCCCGTTTTGTCTATTTCCTTGGTGCGAGAGCTTCCCCCCCCCTTTTTTTTTCCTTTTTTTTTTCTTGGCACAGAGCGAAGCCGTGACAATGACTCGGCGCTTTGTAGAACCGTGAAAACGCAGCCTTGTCCCAATGCGTTGTCGGCTCGGTCAATCCTTGACTCTACCGTGAGCTGTGACTTCACCGAGAGGAAAACGGTTTATTTAATTAATTTTCTGAAAACGGACTTCTGGAGCAAGGGTATTTGTCGATTGGCATGATATTATAGTAGTTGCAAAACGTTACAGTGGTTTATTGTCTGAAATTATCGATACGTTTTAAGATCTTGTTTGGTAAGTAACTGGTATGGACTAAGATTTCCAGTTTAATGGATTTCGACATTTGCCTTGGGTCGGCGTGTTTCTCTTTTAATAACTTTTCGTCAATTAACGGATAAATTACTGTGAAACTCAGAAAACAGCGGACAACAAAAATATTTCTGGCATGTGATTGCGTCGCAAGAAAAAAAGTACATTAGGTATGAGAAAACTAAACAGCGCCGCAAGCAACCAGGGAAGTTTTATGGTTTTATGGTCGGTTAGTAATATGACCGTCAAAATCCTAACAGCTGCTGAAATGAACCCTTACTGTGTTTTTGGTTTGTATTTACTATTTTATGTTTCCTTCGCCGTGTTACTTGTGTCACTGCATGAACATTAAGACCTCAAAATTCCATGTTCCCGAATGTTATAAGTTTTTAGGGTCATGAAGTTTACACCGCAAAAAAATTCAGCTCTTAGGGAAAGGTTTAATCACCTAGGCAACTCGCAATGGCACAAACAGAGATTTGGGCAAACATTGATAGGAAGCCAATTCAACTGGACCATCAGGTTGGTTGGACATTTTTACAGGGTACCGATAGAGTAAAGAGATCTTTTCACTTACACTTTTGGCGCAGAACTGTTTTTCTTTTTACAATGCCCAGTATTTATTCTTCCTTTATTCTAAGCATCACGAAATGATTGACATGCTGCAACCATCCGAAGAGCAACGTTTAATGCCCTGGACGCACCATTAGAGCTCAAGTACCTTATTTACTTAACCCTCTTCCACCTCCAACAACGCTGAACCTTGTTACAATCCGTTCCGCCGACTAAATATAAATAGAGTGTTTGCAGATAAATGGAATGGACCGACACACGACTAAGAAGATTTTTTCCCAAGAACCCAAACTACTGATAAAGAGAATAATTGGAAGTTTGCAAGTATAATCAACTTGTGTATCAAAATGTTTCAAACTTATCAGCCGTGTAGCCTGAGATCAAGCCGAATATTATTTTCCTTTTTCGTGGTCGCGTCCAACCGAAACGAAAAACAAGCTTGATATCATCATCAGGTTAAATTGTAATAGGACGGTACTCGTCAATCCGAGTGGGAATAGTTAGAAAGTCCGTCTTTGTATAAATTAAACACAAAAAATATAAAATATGTTTCGTGCAAAGGACGCAGCAGTAAAGCTCATCACAAGTGCCGCGGTCACACAACTTGACCCTTTAACGCGAATTACTCTAACAGTTCGAAATCAGTGTTCTATTGTTTAGCGTTCCATCCACTGAATACGAATAGATGTTTTTACAACTGGACGAGGGTTGGCGCACGATCATACAATTTATCCACCAGACATTGGCTCAGTAGATAGACTCAGATGTGTCAATCATTTCTAAAGCCTTTTGAAACAATATGGGACAAAACTCTCTAGGGAGAGGGGGGCAATTCGTTTTTACTTACCCCTACCCGGAGAGTCAGTACGGACGTATTGTGACGTTATAACCATATTTTCTGGGATGGATAGTTTACCATTTTCTCTTAAGTATGGAGCTTCACGCTCGCGCGCGCTTTGCGGTAGCGGAGGCTCCGCTTGTATTTACAGATTTTCACCACAGAAAATGATATCCTTTTTAAAATCTCACCCCAGGGTTTATTCTTAAAGTATTCTTAAAATTTCGCAAATTCGAGCCTCGATATTCTTATAAAAAAAAAGAGTGTAAAGAAGGAGAACTTTTACTTGGGCGGAAACATGAAGACATATCTAGTCAATTAGATCATGCCGGTGTTTTTGAACTGAAAAATTCACTGGGTTGGCGTCAGGAGCCCTATGGTTGGCGTTTGTTCCAGTTTGAAGTGAAGAGGTCATCCTTGCAGTCCTTCTTTACTCTAGAGCACTAACAGCGCGAAGAGAAGAGGAATTCTATTGGTACGCTGAATTAATGTGATAGGCAGCGATATGACTGAAATCTATTCACAGGCGCTCACATATTTCGCTTGCTTTCCTAACTCTTAGGAGAATGAGGGACTTCTCATAGTCTACTCAATACCGAATCAAAGTTACTAAATCAGTTTTACTACTACTTATCGATCGTAGCGTCAATTATAACCCCCAAAGCCTAAAATTTACTTGCCAGAGAAGCGAGTAGCTTGAAGAATAGAAGGTATAAGCTCAAAATGGAATCTCTGTACGCTGCAACTGGAATAAAAAAAACAAACAAGAAAGACAAAATTCGTCTTCAGATGCTGTTTTAAACATTGTTAACGCTTCAAGTTCTCTTTTCACAGCTGGGAGTATTTCCCGCATGACCACGCCCAGTCACGTGCTTATCGGTGGGGAGAGGATGGTTTACTAGGGATCACGGACCAGGAGTGCCGGCTGTGTTTTGGTTTGGCTTTGTGGAATGAAAAAGATCCCATTCTGAAAGAAAGACTGTTTGGTTTGACTGGAAATGAAGGTTAGAATATCTAGTAACCCAAATTTTCAACATCGTTTTGACGTATTGATTGGGTCATTTAGTTATGACGGACCTTCAGCAACGACGACGGCGACATCAACGAGAACGGCAAAAAAGCAATAGGTTCAGATTAGCAAAAAACAACTCTGCACGCGCATCACGCTTTATTGTACATTTCTTTGCCACAACGGCACGACTGAGACTTGAAAATGCCTAATCTCACGTTTTTTCACGACTTTCTTTTTCTTTCCCTGAACTTCGATACAGTCTTTTAGAATTCTTTTCAAGAAAAAAATTGCCATCATTTGTCACATTGAACGAGATGGAATAAGCCTGATAAAGTTTGAGACAGCGCGACTTTAACCAGTTGGTACAGATAGGTAGAATTAAACATCTTTTGGATAAGAAAACCTTTTTATTACTTATAAATAGCTTTGTTTTCAGTAAACTTTTTTATTGTTCCTCAGTATGGGGGAACACATCTAAACGTAACCTACACAAACTGCAGTTGGTACAAAATTTTGCGGCCAGAGTCGTGTTAGGTTTAAAGAAGCTTGACCATATCTCCCAGGGACGGAGATCTCTTAAATGTTTAGATGTTACGGAGAAGGTTCTGTTTAATGACTTAGGTTTAGTATTCAAATGTGCAAATGGCTTAGCTCCAGATTATTTAGGTAAATATTTTATTAAACGCTCAGCAGTTCACAACAAGAGGATGTAACAATTTTGTGGTCCCCCGATGTAGACTATCAGTGGGACAAAGGGCATTTTAATTGAACTACTGTAACTAAGTTTTCTTTTCTTTTCTTAATTACCAGTATTATGTAATAATTAACATTGTGACTGAAAAGCCCTGTTGAAGGGAGTCTCAATAAAGTATGTATGTATGTATGTCTTCACTTTTAAGTGACGTTTTCGTAACCGTCGCCGTGGTTGTTGCTTCAGTTTAGACAATTTCTATGTGTCCGAGTGAGTAATAATTTAATTACCCAGGGACTTGGGGGACGTGGATATGACCAAAAGGAAGCCACTTGAATTGTGAAACTTATACATTTAAAAGCCGATTGAAACCCAAAAAAATAAAAACAGTATTTAATCATCAAAGAGAACTTATTCTTTCCTTCCACTCTAGTTTTCAAAAAACTATATTGTAGTCCTGGTAACCTGCAGATATTTAAAAACTTTACTTTAGTCCTTATAATTGCAGAAAATTTTTATATTGTTCTTTACAAATAGATCAAGACAGAAAAATGGGAAACAGAAGGTAGAGTACGCCCCCACGCCCCCTCCCCCCCCAACAGAATGTCAGTCTTCTTTGAAAGAAGACAGTTAAACTTTTTCAAGTACAACTAAAGATACAGAAAACAACTTTTCAGGGCTTCAAATTTCTAAAAGTATGAGTAATTGTAATTTTAAAGAAGTAACTAGAGTTGCCATCTCCATTTGTACCTTCTGTCCACTTTTTTTAAATATTGACAGCCGTGTGGCTGGGTCAAACTGCAACTATAGCATAGGTTTTAGAGTCTTCAGTTTTTCACGTATTATCTCACTCAAGTTTATGAATAAAATTGTTATTTTTAAAGGAAATCATGGTGAAGATGTGAAGGAATGCTATTACTATCTTGATTCCACTCCAACACATTCTTACATGAAGGCCTTGTACAAGTACCCTCAGAACGAATATCCTTATAGCTGGCTTGTTGATGAAAATCGAAAAAGATCACGTCAAGAGCCTGAATTTGAGTTGTGTGATACTGGTAGGAGGATACTTTTGCATTATTCTGTAAATTCAGAATTTTTTTTAACGAAACCTGCCTTCCTTCATTCCCCCAAAATCCTAGTGTTAAGGATCAAACCTTTCTTGGATGCTTTGAAACATTTAGCTTTAGAGACTTCTTCCCCTTGGAATTTCAATCGACCTTCTTTACGACTTCCATTGGTATTTTCCTTGAACCCCATCTTCAGTGTGGCTAAATTCTTTCTTCACAGGAAACTAAGTCAACCTTTTAGAAAGATTATCACCACCCAGGGGCGGATCCAGGATTTTTTTTAGCAGGGGGTGCACTCGTCTCTTGCTCTACTTCAACACCAATAAACCACATAGTTTTTTTTTTTTTTTGCAGAATACCAGTTGTATTAGAAAACCGCAGGTGATCTCAGGGGGGGAGGGGGTGCGCACCCCCTGCACCCTCCCCCTAGATCCGCCCCTGCCACCTCTATCTTTATTCTACAACTGGATGAATCACAAGTAAACGTCAACGGACTTACCGTCCGGGGCTTCAATGTACTACACTCTCTCCTGTTTAATATTTGCCACACCTGAAATCTATAAAGAAAAATAAGCCTATTACAATCATAGAAAGTTATAATCCCTTAATGATATAGTAACACTCAATTAGGGAATGATTTATACCTCCAAAATGTCAAGTTGCGAAACCAGGGCAAACCTCCGTAACCAACCTGTGTTGGTCTGTGCTGTTCCTTCCATAGTGCTGAACTTTTAAGTGTCATTCAATTGACACATATAAATAAATTTAACTATCTTGTAGGTGTGTTTAATGACAGTCGTTACTGGGATATCTGTGCAGAGTATGCAAAGAATACACCAGATGACATTCTCATCCGTATCACAGTAACAAACCGTGGTCCTGACACTGCACGGCTTCATGTCTTGCCAACATTGTGGTTTCGAAACACCTGGATCTGGGGCTGTAAGCATGAAGGGTGTACAAAGAAGGCAAGCATCATCCAGAAAACTCAAGACACTGTGGAGTGTCAGCATGAAACATTAGGAAAGGTTTCATTTATTGTTGACGTTGGACCCGAAAAAAAGACGCCAGAGCTTCTGTTTACTGAGAATGAAACAAACAACAAGGTACGATTTTGTTCGTAACTTATCACCGCCTTGAATTTGCAGTAATGGATGAATGTAGAAAGGTAAACTACTGGAACAACCCTGTTTGTCAAACAAACTATCTGACAACTATAAAACTCAAAATATTAACAACCAGCACGCGGACCATCTTAGGTAGCCGCGCTAGTAATGCGCATGCGTTGAGTCCCGTGGAAAGAGTATTAAATAACACTGATCTCGAGCCAAAAAAATTTTTGCGTTATAAATAAATGACAAATTATGTTAGCAGTGCTTTTTTGGAGAATAGGAGATATGTCCACTTTTGACAGGTTTTCTATCGTCGCACGTGACAGAAAATGCATCGTTTTCCGAAGAAAATAAAGAATAAGAGCCAAATTGTAAACATAAACAAAAGCCAGTTTCTAAAGTAAAGTCGCCTGAACAACAATGAAATGACCGCATTTATTAAAAATAGGCACAACATGCAAACTTTATGAGCTCAAAATATAACAGAGGAGATGAAAACAGACCTGAATGTGTGTAAATAGAATCCCAGACTCTTTAAAGACCTTTTGTTTGTGTGTTTTGGCGAAGATGAGCCGGTTTCAAGTCTGTTGTTAACGAGTACGTAGCTGTTTGAAACTCCTAGAATTTGGGGGAGATTTTTCTTCTTTCCATCACAATTTTGCTCTGCTCAGTTTTTCCGGTTGCATTCGATTTACATGAAAACCGAGAGACCATCATCAACCTCAATATTATTTGTCATCATCTGATGCAGTCTCTGTTTTCCTAGCAAATGTTTGAATGATTGAAACGTACCCCGATGCGCCGCCTAAAACCCGAAAACAGTTGATTTACTACAAACCTCCTTGACAAGTTTTAATTTCTGACCAATCAAACTCATAAAAATGTCCCACGATATTACATATTAAACCGTTCAATTAAATATATGTATTGCGCGCGCGTTTGGTAAGGTAATAAAAATCTCAAATTGTAATAACCCTTTTAGATAATGCGCGCGCACATCATAGCTTCACGTGTCACACTACGGAAAGAAATAACAACAAAGAAAAAAATCATTATTTGTGTAGGAAAATTTCCCAGTCTTTCCCTGAAACGTTTAGAACATTTGACCTTTCATAAACCTTGTCATCTAAAAAAGACACATCCAAGTTAGTATTTTAATGTTTATACAGTTACAACAACAGAACTTCGTCTATATACGCCAGACAGTTAAACCCTTTTTTAACGTCCGATCATGCATGTGTTTTGTTGTCCATCTTTAAAGCATCTGTATGGTGTCGACAACTACACAACATTCACCAAGGATGCCTTTCATCGCTATATCATTCATGGTGAAAGAGATGCAGTCAATCCCGAGAAAAAAGGCACCAAAGTGGCTCCTCATTATTTGCTGGTTGTCCCTTCTGGGGAAGAACGAGTCTTGCAGTGTCGACTCATGGCTGAGGGAGATGTTGTGACTGAACCATTTGCTGAAAGAAATTTCGGAGCAGTAGTTCAGAAGCGACAAGAAGAAGCAAACGAATTTTACCAAGTTGCCATGCCATGTAAGCCTTCATAATGCGCCCTGATAGAGACTTTTTCCAAGGTTTTATCAAAAACAATTAATTAAATCCATGTTCTCGCAATAAGGAACAATGTTATCGATATCTAGTACAGATCGTTCTGGACAAAACCTAACGCGCAAAAAAGTACAAATTGAGGCACTGACAAAAACTGGTTAAGTGTCAACTGCCGTACTGATTTTAGTTAAACACGGTCGTTTTCTTTGGCGCCCTAACATAGCACAGTAAAGACTGCGTTAAAAATTTGAAAAGACAGTAGCGTTGCCTGTATTAAGCAGAGATGATTCGCCCAAATAAATAATCTGTCAACAACAACGACCACAATTTGTGAATTTGTACTGTTGTACTAGGGTAAGTGGATCAAAGTGGATGAAGGGGGTAAAGTGGCGGGAGGGTGAGCGCGACCTTCCCTTGCGAAGGCTCAGTTGTTACTCTTGCTATTCTTTCAGCTGGCTTGACTCCAGAGGAAACCGAGGTGTCTCGTCAGTCCTATGCCGGCCTACTGTGGAGCAAGCAGTTCTATCATTACATCATTAAAGACTGGTTGACTGGTGACCCGGAGATGCCGACTCCACCCACTGAAAGGTTCAATGGAAGGAACTCAGCAGCAGGGTGGAGACACTTGTTTAACAGAGACGTTGTATCCATGCCAGACAAGTGGGAGTATCCCTGGGTAAGTTTTTCGCACGATTTCTGAGTTTCTGCAACACATCACCTGTTTCTTAGAAAATTTAAAGGTAGCTTTGCCCCTTTGCAACTATTTTCGCGATCAAGTGACTTAACAAAGTGAAAACCGGTCCTGCTTGCTGCACGTCTGCTATGCCCTTTTATAAGAAACATTTTCCTGTGGAACAATGTGGACTCCATCTTTTCAATCTGTTAAGCCATTCATTTGGTATGTCCTCTATGTTAAGTAAAAGAGAATTAGTATCTATAATAGTAATTCTTACATGTTCTTATTGTTAATGGCAGCAACTTCCATAAAACAGTTGCAGCATGAGCGAAGATGCGACTCCCAAGTGTGAAGCAGTTGACTTTTGGAACGAACAAAAGAGATTACCCCGCGAGCGAAGAGCACTGATTAAAAGCTGCTTTATAACAATCAGTCTCCACGATTTTTCATTTTTTTATCTTTCCTTTAGAAAGAACAGACCCGATAGATCTTAACGAGTCAATTGACCGTCATCGAAGAGTATCGTGTATTAAAGTGACTGGCCTTAGGGGCTGACCATTCCACTTTCAAAGTGGAATAGTCAGCCCCTAAGGCCAGTTTGAAAGGAGCGGGGGAGGAGTTATGGGTGATATGGTTTGAGCAACAAATTATTTTCCAAGCCTACTACTTTGATGGAATTTGATTCCTAACTTTTGGCTCTGAACATAACACTAGGGATACATCAATGCATTTCTTTGCAATGGCTGAAAGTGTATTGCCGGTTTTGAGTAAATTATAAGTATATTAACGGGAGCTTCGGTTTTAGGCTTGCATGGCTAAACTCAAATTAGTTGACTATAACAAACTTCATCATATTGATGGCGCTTGCTGTCTGATGAAATGTGGTCAACCATTATGGTTTGATGGCAAATGGCTGGGCGTTTTGCATTAAGGGTAACGCTGTATGTAATTAATGTGGAAAGCTGTCGAGAAAAAGGTGCTAGAAACGAAAGGACAAAAAAGCCATCCTCTATTAAATAAGCCCGTCTGCGTTGCTCTGACTGATTGGAAGAAAAGCACGTCCCTAAATATACACTTTGAAAAGATGCGAGTTAAAATATAACTTTGCTCTGAATCAGAGTGAAGTCTTACTGCAATATGGCCAATAACCTCTCTCCATCTCTTTCAGTACGCCACATGGGACCTAGCTTTCCATATGATTCCCATGAGCGTTATAGACCCCCAGTTTGCAAAGGATCAGTTAATCCTGTTTCTTCAAGAAACGTACTTGGCGCCAAATGGCCAGATGCCAGCTTATGAGTTTGCCCTGGGTGATGTGAACCCGCCCGTTCACGCGCTAGCATGCCTTTTGGTCTACGAAATGACGGGGCACCCTGGAGACCGGGACGATAACTTCCTGAGAGTTTGTTTTCGGAAACTACTCATTAATTTCACCTGGTAAGGAAGTAGGATCAAAAGCCCTTTTTTTCTTAAGTTATTCGGGCAAGGTAAGACAAATTAGTATCTCGAAACTCTTGTTTCTTGATTTTATAAAAAGTCAGATAACTTCTTTTACGTTTTATTGTTTTGTTTTTCTACACATGATACTGATTAGTAATGAACATAAAAGAAAAGAAGTAAAAGTTGAACAACAGAGCGAATCTACTTTCTCTAAGTTAGAAAAAGTGACTTGATCATTTTATTAAGATAACAGGGCAACACAGAAATAAACGTTTTTACGTGTGAATTCGAGTCCCTCTTCAATTCATAGGTGGGTGAATGCAGGTGTTAGAAAATATTCATTTGTTGCACTTCGGTTTTTTTTTTGTTCAATTCTTAGGTGGGTGAACCGTAAAGATCCCTCTGATACGAACATTTTTGGCGGGGGATTTCTTGGTCTTGATAACATTGGTAAGGACCCTTGCTCTATCCATTTGTCAGAGTAACTGAATATTTCCATGGCTGCACTGAGAACGTAGACAGTGGCACAGAGTGTAAGGTTTCCTATATTCGATCAGAAATTTGCAGAATTATCCCAGAGGGGTTGTTATGGAAACGAAATTTAGGGCACTCTGTAAATACATTCCCCTGTTCTCTGCTGCATAAAATAGCTTTCCCACTGAACCAATTTTTGGAATTTTAGAGAAGCACTGGCGTAATTCGACTTTAAATGTTTCTCCGACAATGTGGACTAGGGAAGGTCTGTCCTTTGTTCTACGTGACGAATGGAGCTATTTTCACCCCAATTTGTGTTTAGCTTACGAAAAGACAAAACAATGTTTTCGATTCTCTACTGTTTTCATTATCTACTGATGTGTCCGTGAGAATGTCTCGAAAGAACCGTGGCGATACACGTCTATAGTTGGTTTAGACTTCAACTTCAACGTTATTTAATAAAAATATTGATTACAATAGACTGGCCCACAAAATAGCAACTGCTAATCTAGGCAGACCAGTTAAAAGAAAAATAAAGTGATAAGAAAGGAAAGGAAGGAAAATATTTTAAGTTACAATAAATAATATTTCTATCATAGTTTTATTTTAATTACATTAAATCTAAGGAAAAACGAAAAAGGAATTGACAGAGAGCAAAAAACAAATACTTTTGTACAGAAATCACACCAATTAAGGGAAATTGAAAGTCGACTTCATCCAGTAGTAATGTTAAATTTTCCAAATTTTGGTTGATGCTTACAACATTATTGTGAAAAACTGAAAAACTGGATTGAACCTCACTGATGGATAGCTTTCTATCAAATAATTTGAAACTATGCTGTGATAAATATCGACATTGTCTGTGATCGTTGTTGTTACTATTTAATTGACCGTCAAGATTAGTAGATCTCAGAAGACTCTCCTTCGTCTAACTGGATTGAATACTGAAAACTATTCTTTTTTGGCAGGAATCTTTGATCGGTCCCAGAATTTGCCATTCAACGAAGTGCTCTTACAGGTGCGTTTGCTGTTTTGCCTTGAGAAATAAATCCTGTATAGGACTAATCATTCGATTTTTCCCTTTATCTTTGTAGGCTGATGGTACAGCGTGGATGGCGTTTTATTGTATCCTAATGCTAAAGATCGCTCTGATCCTGGCAGAGAAAGACGACACATATCAAGACATAGCATGTAAATTCTTCGAGCACTTCACTCAAATCTCGGATGCAATTAATAAAATGTCCTCCGGTCTGGGCTTATGGGATCAGCAAGATGGCTTTTATTACGACCATCTGAATGCAGGCACTAACTCCGAGCCACTACGCGTGCGCAGTATGGTTGGCCTCGTTCCTCTTATGGCTTGTCTTGTTCTTGATAATAAGTTCATAAAAACCCTACCCGTACTCAAAAAGCGGGTTGAATGGTTTATGCAAAACCGGAAAGACTTAGCTTCTCAGGTAAGTGACCCGGAGTTTGTGAAAAAAATATCTCTTACATGACATTTGCAACATTCAATTAAATGATATTACCAGAACGACTTTCAAAGTTCAAGCCAATAATGTCGACAAAGTTCTCACTCTTCTCTGCTTCTGACTCTTACATTAAAAGGGTTAGTTAAGTGTCCCGAGGTATTAATATCACCCGTCAGGAATCGCCGAGGGGTGGGGCTGGGAAGGTTTAATTAGCCCCTCTTCTTTTTGAGATTTTCGAAAAAAAAGTACTTTAGTTTATCAGATTCAAAACTGTACAAAAAGTATTTTATTTATTCAAGCAATTGCTGAACTCTCTTTAACTTAGTAATTCTTTTATACTTTCCTCTTTTTACCCAACTTTTGAGGATTTCTTACACCAACTAAACACAAACAGCTTGCGTCTGACTTCAAAGTTATCTGCTGACAGTACGGATAAATTTTCAAACGGTTAAGTACATATAAAATTTTACAAACCAAAAAGTGCGGGATAGATTAACAAGAAACCTGTCCAGGGACTTAATTTTGAACAGCGCTATGGAGTTTTGTACGGTGACTCTAACTTATGAGTCTGCGGTTCAAATCCTATGGTGTGACCATTCAAATGAAATCTCTTCAGTAGTACTTTCACATGTTGCTACTTGTTTTTCAAAATTTCACAAAACTAAATTTGGAAATTAGGTCGAAATTTGCTTTTGGCAAAATTTGGCAGTGAAAGGGTTAAAAGCACAATGCGTTTTGTTCTACATCCTGAACATTTTGAGGACAGTCCATTTTCACCTTTTCATATTCACGAAGCCGAGATAGCTCTCCGAATTTCACCTCGATTCACCTGAGCTAATGAACAGCAACTAAATAATTTTAAAAAATTGTGCATAACTATTATTCAAGGATAAAAGTTTTAGATGCATTTCAGAAAACCCAAATTTCAAATTTTCCCGGGAACAAAATGACAACTATAATTACAATTAAAGGCTCCTTAGAGGTACATTAATGAACAGTTGTGTTCATTAATGTAACTTTAGGGAACCTTTAATTAACAATTAAAGAATGAGGCTGAGTATCTTATGAAGAATTATGGAGATTGAGGCTGGAGGGTGTAAGATAACGCCCTCCGAGATCTCCGAAATTCTTCATATGATACGAAAACCGAATTCAATATTTGTTTTATTATTCATTCAAAATAATTCCTAGTTTAAAAACATGGCTAAAACATGCTTACCTCCATCGAGCCATCGATGTTAAGTTCATCTTCGATAGTGCACGTTTAGGGTTGTTCATCTCCGAAAATATTCTCCAAATAGCAGCTGTCACCCTTTGACTTGTCTTCTTGCTGTTGTTGTCATGGTTTTAGCTATTATTGCGCCTAGTTCTTACTCTTGAAACGAGCGAAATGTCCGCTATTTTTGTTTTCACAACCAAAACAACTCAACCTCGTCCCCAGGTCTTCTCGGTTAACGGTGCCTTAACCTGCAAGAAAGCTGCACTTTTGACTTCATCGGTTCATTAAACGCAAAATTCTTCCAAATTTGGCCATCAGTAGCTGGTTATGGTGAATTATGCATGTGCTTTTGGGCAATCAGAATCGGGGACATATTTTGAATGAATAATAATTGTAATTAAACGAGTCGTCATTTTGTCCCCGGGAAAATGCCCCCCAGTACGCTCGTACCTAACGATTCAGATTAGACCCCCTCCCCCAAACTTTCAACCGACCTCGCTGCGCGATTCATGTACATACAACTATGGCAAACGATGGGGATGGCCACGTGACTATTTTTAAGCAAATCTCATTTACTTTTTTTTGCAGTATATTGCCGATTAATTTTCCCGACTTTTTGTCATAGGTATCATTTATGAATACAGGTGGAGAGAGCGACTTCAATTATTTACTTGCCATTCCTACCAAGGACCAGCTTATCCGTGTGCTAAGTCGTATGTTAGACGAGGAGGAATTTCTGTCACCTTATGGCATTCGTTCATTGTCCAAGTTTCACGAAAAGAATCCATATAACTGGAAGGAGGTAAACGGTCAAGTTTACAGCGTACAGTATGTCCCAGGGGAGTCTGACACTACCATGTTTGGCGGGAACAGCAACTGGCGTGGACCTATCTGGCTTTGCAGTAAGTACAGTATTTAATAAAACAAAGTTTGAACGGGAATGTTTTTACCTGTCAAATGAATATAGACTCGAACAGGAATCATAGGTAACGGGCAAGATCCCGTCGGTACCCATTCTCACCACCAAGAGTAATCAAGGATCAAACCCTAAGAAAAAATTTCCGACCTTCAGATGAGATTCGAACTCACCACATCTCCAAGTTCTAGTTCGGATGCTCTGTTAATGAGCTACTAGAGTCTCTATACAAAATAGTTGGTTTTTTATGTCCCGCGAGAGTTAGATCGGGGAAGTGTTGTGTTATATGAGGTAGCTCATATAATAAGCCCCAAGGTTTTAATTTGAGCTTCCTCGCTAGAAAAATACTTTTAATTCTTTTACTTACAATTTACGTCTCTTTAATCTTTAAATAACATTTTTGTAATATATTGCATGTCTGTGTGTGTATGTACTTTTTTTCTGGCAAATAAATAAACTGAAACTAAACTTGAATAAACTGACAAGGCCCTGGTTTTTCTACCCTGCGAGCAGAGGCTACTTTTCGCACGCCAGCTCATACCGCGAAAATGTAGCCTCTGCTCGCAGGGTATGGTTTTTCCGTCCTTTTCCGAGAACGTCAGAGCAGAAGAAGTTTATAGATGTACACTTACTTTGAAACAAACATTTGACGCATTGGGCAAACTGTGGCGTAAAACATGGGTGAAATATCTTGCCGGTAAAGCAAAAATTCCCAGGAGGGTACACTAGATTTTAAAGACACGTTATTAAGTTCTTGTTATCGATACGTATGTTTGTAAGTGGTCAATCTCTGAACGAATAGAAAAGTGATAACGAAGTATTAGCTAGTTTGTAAAAATAACGAAAACGTATTAGTTAAATGTTTTTAGGAAGAATCGGTTTGTCTTTTTGTTCGCACTTCACTTTAATGTACGACAAATTACACAAGATTTGTTTCCGCTCCTTTTTCAACTTACTGCAGTATGATATCTTTATCAACGACGTTTTTCTGTTAACCTTTAGTGAACTACCTCCTCATAGGGGGCTTAGAACTCTACGACCGTTTTTACGGTGACAGCTTGACGATAGAGTGCCCCACCCGGTCGGGAAATCACATACGCCTGCGTGATGTTGCTCTTGAACTGAGCAGGCGCGTAGTGTCTTTGTTTCTGCCCAATAAGGATGGACGAAGGCCATGCCACGGAGATGATGAGAGATACGCCAGTGATCCACACTGGAGCGATCTGGTGTTGTTTTACGAGTACTTCCATCCAGAAACGGGACGAGGGTGTGGTGCTAGGTAAGTAACTTGGAGATTGTTTTATCTTAACTTACTACTTGACAAACCTCGTTTTCTCAAGGAGAATTTATTTTAAAACTCTCTCAATTTGCCAACCCAAAAATGGATTGGCACAGGACCCCCATCATAACTGATAGCACATCTTTGACGTTTACCAGCTTTCATCAGCCAAACTTCGCTACTAAGCATCGTCTGTACCACTCTCAAATTTTATGTACACGTCCAACATTTAGAAAATTATAATACGACTTGACACTTGAACCTCCGAATTTTGATTTTGTTTATTGGTGTCTGTTACACGTAACAGTCCATTCACCTGAACGATGATAAAACCTCGCCCTAGAGCTTGTCCTGGCACCAATACGATAATGTTAAATTTTCGAGAAAATAACACACAACCCAATGTTGTGGGAGAGGTTTCCCATTAAGTGTCTTAAAAGAATAGTGGAGATAATTTTTAGGACTCTAATTGTCTTTATGAACACATTGGTATTATTCTTACGTTGATTTTTTTCTCAATAGTCACCAGACAGGATGGACCGCGCTTGTCAGTCGTCTGCTGTTTAAGCTGGCCATGAATCGCTAAAAATGCACCCATCAGGTTAATGGACCGACAAACTTAGATTATAGTTACTGTTTATCATAGCTTGAGTTACTTTCCATTAACTTATAAATTAGGTTAGGTATTCAACCAGTCATTAAATGACCAATCATATAGCACGACAGATACAAAAATAGATCCTATATGAAAACGAATCAACAAATCAACAAAGTTCAAGGATAAAAGTGCAGTGTAACCCTCCGCTCTCTTGTCATTTTTTTTTTCAATGTTCCCTGCTCAGGAACTTTTGGTGGGAAACAGTTCATTAATAGATATCATGTGACGTTGAGGTAGCCAGATTTATCATTAGAGCAGGGGACTGTTCGGTAAAGTTCCAACTGTAAGACATTTGTTTCTATATCTTCCATCTAATAATTCTTGGTAATAGTTTACGTCATTTTCAAACAATTGAAGTGCCTCTTAATTAGAATATGGTGTATTTTTGTCCACTCGTCTTGCACAGTATTATTAATCACTGCCATGCCAATGGCAATGACAACATTAATCATTTGCCGATTTCCGTATATTAAGGGATCCAAGGTATCGTAAATCGGTTATCTTAGAGTTCATTTTTTCCCCATCGTTTTGCGTCGGGTCTAGATAGGCTTTTTTTTCACACGTAGTTTTTTTACTTTACTTGAGCCCAATCTTGTCTTGTTTTGTAAATTGAAAGTGGAAGCCGGGATAATAGTCGTCCTTTTTAATTTGCACTAGGTGGCAAGGCTTGATTAACCACGTGTTAAGTGAAATAGCATGTAATTCCATACAAGGTTTTCTGCTAGTGTGTTCAATATTATTATGTGGGTCTTTTTTCCCACCTAATTAAGGTGACTCGACCCAGTTTTTTTGGGGGGGTACCATCCTACTTTGAAGCTCTCTGGTATCCCCACCTTTACTTTTATCGTAAGTCTAACACATAGAATGGATAACATATAGATCAATCTACAATATAACATAAAAATTTTGGCGATCGGAGTAAATGTCACGTGGTTATAATGCCACGCCCCTTTGAGGTCTGAGTCGAAAATCTGCTGTTGCCGGCATTTTTTCGTGAAAATCTCTCGGCTACACATAGTGCGCATTAGTGCCTTGCGCTGAACAGAGTTTCACCAAAATCGCAAAGACCCAATTCGAGAAATTCAGCGGTTTCCAAATTTAGGTCATAATTTATGCGAAAATGATAAGCAAACTTTACACGGATTATATCTAATAAACTATGAGATTCATCTCTTTATTTTGGGCATCGTTATAACAGATGGGTCCTTGCAAGTCAGCAAAACGCTTTAGGGCCTTGTAAATGCGCGCGATTTCGAGCAAAGCAAACATATAGAAATTATAGTTTTCGCTATTTGTTGACGTTTGTCAGCGTTTAAGAGTCCTTCTCACGAAAAAAGCATTTTCTTAAAAATTCGTAGTTTTTTTTCCTTCAAATTTTTTCAGGGCCACAATTGATTAACTAACTACCCGGACTCTGAATTTCATGGTCATTGAAAAACTGTGACATTATCTTCTATAAGCCCAAACTTGAGTAAACATTGAAGATTTTTAGCGTTTTGGCTGAGTTTGTGCTTTGGGAGTTGTCTATTGTTTCTAGTCTGTCATTATACAGCATTCTTGTTCAGCACGCGTGCAATGACCACGCTTGGCTGACTTCCGAATGCTCACCGAGATATTCCCGTCACGAGTTGGTTTAATTATTGGCTTGCATTAAACCTATGAAAAAATGATATTTTTTTAATAGTAAGTAGATTTAGTGTGTAGCACTTCTTGATTTTTTTGCAAAGGCACAAGAAGCACGAGAATTGATTAAAAATTGTGACTTAAACCTCTATGTATCACGCGATGGCCTGTCTCACTGTACCAAAATTATTATATCTCGGTGAGCATTCGGAAGTCAGCCAAGCGCGGTCATTGCACGCGTGCTGAACAAGAATGCTGTATAATGACAGACTAGAAACAATAGACAACTCCCAAAGCACAAACTCAGCCAAAACGCTAAAAATCTTCAATGTTTACTCAAGTTTGGGCTTATAGAAGATAATGTCACAGTTTTTCAATGACCATGAAATTCAGAGTCCGGGTAGTTAGTTAATCAATTGTGGCCCTGAAAAAATTTGAAGGAAAAAAAACTACGAATTTTTAAGAAAATGCTTTTTTCGTGAGAAGGACTCTTAAACGCTGACAAACGTCAACAAATAGCGAAAACTATAATTTCTATATGTTTGCTTTGCTCGAAATCGCGCGCATTTACAAGGCCCTAAAGCGTTTTGCTGACTTGCAAGGACCCATCTGTTATAACGATGCCCAAAATAAAGAGATGAATCTCATAGTTTATTAGATATAATCCGTGTAAAGTTTGCTTATCATTTTCGCATAAATTATGACCTAAATTTGGAAACCGCTGAATTTCTCGAATTGGGTCTTTGCGATTTTGGTGAAACTCTGTTCAGCGCAAGGCACTAATGCGCACTATGTGTAGCCGAGAGATTTTCACGAAAAAATGCCGGCAACAGCAGATTTTCGACTCAGACCTCAAAGGGGCGTGGCATTATAACCACGTGACATTTACTCCGATCGCCAAAAATTTTATGTTATATTGTAGATTGATCTATATGTTATCCATTCTATGTGTTAGACTTACGATAAAAGTGAAGGTGGGGATACCAGAGAGCTTCAAAGTAGGATGGTACCCCCCAAAAAAAACTGGGTCGAGTCACCTTAAAAGGTACTTAAAGAGAGATGTCGTCTTGCATTACTTCATTTACCTAGAAGTAAAGTTTTTAGCCTTCCTAGTTCCACTGCTTAAAGTGTGGTACCGTTTATCTCGATAAGGGGCAATATTTGTTTCCTCCTCAATCTCCCCCCACCTCACCCCCCCTCCACACCCACAAATCATGTATTACGTCGTGAGTGAAAGACACTAAACAATACTTCAAAATAAAATCTCTCCATTTGATTGTCATTTGGAAGTAATGATCTGTTCATAACGTCTCTACTTTTGATTCGCAAAAATGAGGGTGCTTTCTAGGTAAAAGAAAAATGAATCCCTTACCTTTTTCATAATATCGGTTCTCGATAAATGTTTTTGAACATATCTCCTCTATTTCAGTTGAGTGCAAAAAGAATTTAAATTCAGAGAACTGTCAATTTCGACACAACTAGAAACCTCACGCGAGGGGTTATCAAAATTGTCCTTCGAGTGATTGACCCAGCACTGTCCAGACTGCTTTTGGCACGATCGGAAGTTCAAACACAATATTAAATCCTGAACCATCCTCCCCACGCGCCTGGACAAAAATTTGGCTTCTTAATAGTGTCGACGATTACCACCTTGTTGTCTTCTACCTTTATACACAGTCACACTAACTCACTCACTAGTAACATGCATCCAATGTGCAGTTGAACAGTTGGGTTAATTTGCAATTGCTTAAATTGCAATTACCATTGCGATGATCATATCTTTCATTTAAATTGAAACGTCCCCCTAAAGCGAGGTCAACTTTGTACGACGTTTCACTCGGGTCACGAAGAAGTGCCCGTTTTCTCGTTTTATGCATTTTAAGCTTTAATCTAATTTTACGCTACTCAAGCTTTTTCGCCCTAAAACTAGTATTCTACCACGTTTTCAAGCTGGGATTTGCAGACTCCAAAGTGAGGGCTGAATACAGAAATATTATATGGGCGAAACAACCAGTCTTTTAAGGTGACTCGACTCAGTTATTTTGTGAGTGTACCATCCTACTTTGAAGCTCTCTGGTATCCCCACCTTTACTTTGATCGCAAGTCTAACATATAGTATGGATAATATATAGATCAATCTACAATATAGCATAAAATTTTTGGCCATCGGAGTAAATGTCACGTGGTTATAGTGCCACGCCCCTTTGGGGTCTGAGTCTAAATTCTGCTGTTGCCGGCATTTTTTCGTGAAAATCTCTCGGCTACATATAGTGCGCATTAGTGCCTTGCGTTGAACAGAGTTTCACTAAAATCGCAAAGACCCAATGCGAGAAATTCAGCGGTTTCCAAATTTAGGTCATAATTTATGCGAAAATGATACGCAAACTTTACACGATTATATCTAAAAAAACTATGAGATTTCAGGGGCACCCAACGACGGTTTCCTCCTAAAACTCTTTTTAGGCTATCCAAAGTACTTCTAGATATCTAGAAATGTATTCTAAGCGGCGCAATAAAATTTTTATCTGTTCGCTCATCCTAGGGGAACTTGAGTACTTTCGAAATTACAAGGGCTTCAGTATGATTTACCCGAAAATATTATCGGCAATTTAGCGTATTACAAAGGACATAATTTTTCAGATTCCTCTTTCCATCACATTTTTGAATCCAAAAATTTCAGGTTTCCTTTCTTATACGATAAATAGGCTAACCTGGGGACTTAAATGTGAAAAATTAAACTTCCGAAAATCATAGGGAATTTATTAGTTGAGCTTCGACAATTGTACATGAATGGAGTGGTCGTCAAGAAATTTTTAGCCGTCCTAAAGAAATAGAACATTCTAGGCAACATTTGCTTTTCCGAAGATATTTTACAGAAAACAGTGGTTGGGTGCCCCTGAGATTTATCCCTTTATTTTGGCGGTCTTTATAACATATGGGTCCTTGCAAGTGAACAAAAAGCTTTATGGCCTTGTAAATGCGCGCGATTTTGAGCAATGCAAACATACAGAAATTATAGTTTTAGCTATTTGTTGACGTTTGTCGGCGTTTACGAGTCCTTCTCACGAAAAAGGCATTTTCTTAAAAATTCGTAGTTATTTTTCCTTCTAATTTTTTCGCGGCCACAATTGATTAACTAACTACGCGGATTCTGAATTTCATGGTCGTTGAAACACTGTGACATTATCTTCTATAAGCGCAAACTTGAGTAAACATTGAAGATTTTTAGCGGTTTGGATGAGTTTGTGCTTTGGGAGTTTTCTATTGTTTCTAGTCTGTTATGATACAGCATTCTTGTTCAGCAC